TGTTTAAGTTAAAACTGTTGGTGTAATATTCAGATATTTGAAAATAGTTTTAACTTTTTAAAATCAACCAAAAAATTATAATGAAATAGTGTGCATCGAGTAAGATTTAATGGAACAGAAGTTCAAAAGTAGCACATTCTAACAAAATATTATTAAAAGGAATATACATAATGTATTAGATACTTACGGAGGAGAGTGAAAGTCCATACCAACTTCCTTACAATTCTGTTTGTCATTTTGCAGTCGGAAACAAATTTTGTATTACAATAAAACACCTGTAAAATTTACACCTGTAGTTGATATTTGTTATTACACCACTCTATGCGTCATGATGAGGTTTAGATCTAGGGGCAAAATCATGTCTTAATCCTGTGATGTCCTAATCTGCGAACAAAGGCCTCTCCGATAAGGTAAGTATCTCCTACATATAGTGTGTGTGTGGTTTGTAATGTGTTACGGGGTAGATCTGACCTCTTGTGACCTTACATTCCTCATCAATGGGGGTGTAGGAATTCTACTGTTTATGTGGGATATCATGGATTTTCTGGTCATGTGACTTCAGTGACACATTGATGATGTCACAACGAAGGATTGCCTTCATAATGTATGGTTAGCCTGACCCATATAATAAGTATGTTGCCATGGTGAATTGATATATTTAAACTGAAAATAAACATTCTGATCCATTATACAAGATTGTTCGATTAAATAATTGTTTTTATGTTCTTTACTTAAATACATCTGAGGATCTATTGGTTCATATGTTACATCAAGTGGTTATCTGCATAAGATAAGTTATACTTATCAACACATGACCGCAAACAATAGAATTTAAAAATAGATTCTATGTTACTCTGTCTTGATCAAATATTTCGGTCAACTGAATATCTTCATATTTTAATTTTAACACAAAACAAAAAAAGATCTTGTCGTAATTTGTCAAATTGAATGAATGATAAGTATACACACCCGTTGCTACAGGTATGTCGTATCTATTTTAACGGCCGATTTTCAATTTCATTTCCTCTCGGTATGGATTTCCCCATGATTGACCCTGTTCGTCATAAATCTTCCTTAACTTAAAGAATTTTCCTCTACTTAAATTTGCCCCTTGGGAAGCATTACATAAGTTAAGGAAAATTTCTTAAATGTGGGGTTTCCAGCAATACTGATTTCCCATAGAGGTCGGCCTAAAGATTTTTTCACCCTTCGAGACCTCTCACCGATGAATTGTTTTGTGCCATCAAAGTTGGTTCCATTGACTTTACATTACATTGCGTAACTGAATTACTAAACTATGAACGCCAATTGTCACAAAACAGATAAAAAATGATTAATTATTTTAACGAAAGTTCTAACCATTCACTAAATACCAAAGTACTAAAACAATAAGTATATCGCCGACATTATTGGTCGTTAAGCATTTTGTGAGGAAAACATCATTTTTTGTCAACAAATGACATTTTGAATGTCTTCCATATTCTTACCCTAACCCTGATCAAAGATCAAAACTTTTAGCTTTGATGTGTATTATCCCAATGACTTAGTGGACCACCTTGTTACACTCCCAACCTTATGTATACATGTGCCTTGCCTAATATCTAACAACCCCTATCACACATACAAGTAATGCCAACATGTCATTGAATGACTATTTCTAATAAATATAGATAGGCCAATACATACAATACATTATATGATCGATGAGTTACTGTACTCATCTTCCAACAATACATAATATACCTCATATACCCCAATAGTTTTTTTTTTGTGTTTTGTTTTTGTTTTGTTGTTTTTTTGTGTGTGTGTGTGTTGCAATGATACGTAGCAAAACATCCCACTATTATACGTAGAGGATCTATTTCATGGCCAATCGTCCTATGTAAAAGGCACGCTATATATGAAGAGTTTCAATCAAGACACGACTATATTGCCCAAGCTCGAAAAACACCAACTCATCTTTCATCACAATCTGTGATGTCCTTGATCCTCACGTATTTGTTCACATCATCTTATAGGAAAAGATCTTAACCCTAACGGTGAGATCCTCACTGATGAAAGAGAAATGTTGACTTCAGAGCTACCTTCCAGATCAAAGGAATTCATCAAGGATCTTTATACATTTCATATATGCTTTCTATGCAGGAGCCTTCTTTTACTCTGCGTTTCCCTCTCCTCTCTATTGTATAGCGTATTGTATAGATTGTATACCGTGGACTGGTTGGACAAGAACACAGTTTCTAAAATGTCTTTCCTATTGTTCAATCTCTATTGATACTGGTATTTACACTCTAAATCACAAGGATACACTGCTGTTATTCTGGATAAAAATAAAGACGGACATATCATGGCAACAGTATTCAACTCTTTTTAACATGTAACTTTCTTATATATCGAAAACAGTTCTTTCCATCTTAAAATAATTAGAAATAAGCATTGTTCCTTGGTCCTTGAACGTGAACATCTTACAAAGAAAATATCCTGGAGCATAACATTGTGTTCTCAGAAACATTTCTTGACCTACAAGCATCTGTCACACTTGACGATATGTATGTCTTTATTCCTAAGAGTTATGATCACAAGCTCCAGAAAATCTCCTACTGTGGCCAGAAGAAACGGCACTATTTGAAGTTCATGAGCATAGCCTTGAATGATAGACACAGTAAGACCTTTTGTTGGAAGCGATAATGATACGAAGATTGCAAAAGCCTTCCTGACTGGAGAGAAAGGTGACAACGTCGCTGTTAATCGCGGAGTGAGGAATACTTCGCCAAATTTGGAATCACGTGGTTTGACAACAAATATGCCGTCTTACCTAAAACCTGAGCAGACTCACCACAACGACCTACAAGCTAACCTTGATAAATCCATAACTAAATTCAGAGAAGTGGAGTCAAATCACGGACGATTCAAGCAATGGCTGTTTTTCTCAAAACACAACTTGCCTTCAACTATTTCATTGATGTCATCGAGGCACTCGATAAAATAGTAACAGCCTCTCTCTCAATGGAATCCGGGGACAAATGTTAGAACACAAGACCAAGACGAAAAGGATATGATGCTGGTTGTTCACAACAATTTAACTCAGAATGGGGAAAATGACCCAACTATCATTGGCAGCTGGCTACATAAGTGAGCACTCAGTGATAATGGTCACTACAAAGTCTGTATCTATTGGCACTCATGAAACATTACACAGTGTCAGATCCAATCAAGACACAAGAACATTGTAAAGTACATTGTTTGGATCCAGTATGATAGCTCAGAAGCTATTTACCCCATAAATGATTTTCATTGCCAGTGTCCTACTGGACAGAGAATAATGAAGGCATGTGCCCACATAGCCAATATCATGTACTATTTAGGATACTACTTGCATTTGGAAACCAGTAAGCTTTTACATCCAAAAGTCAAAAGCCTTAAGACAAACCTCAAAAAAGTAGATTTCGCTGCCAGACGTTATCTTCAAGGCATTAGGTATGGTCGACTTGAACCATTAGAAATACATGTACATGGCATGGTCAATCAGATTCTAGGACGAAGAAGCCTTATTGAACTCCAGTTTCGATGGTTTAATGTGTAAACCAACTTACATTTATCATTTATCATTCTTGTTAGAATATTAATTGTGTGATTATCAGGGAACATTAGAACCGTTTCGAAACGTTCACTTTAGCGGGTTATTGGTGTAGGTGACAGTCCCTTTGTACTGATCTATTTGAAAATGTTTTAGAACATATTTACGAATTTACTCCAATAGGAAAATTTATTTTTGACCCTCAGAAAATTGCGCTTAACATTCTTTCTAAAAACCCATCACATTTCTTGCTTCCGTCCCAATGTAGTTAAAACCTGTGACTTCTGACTTTGCTGTTGAAGTTGCGTCCTAGGCTATTTTGAAACACCAACTTTAATTTTTACTTAACGTCTTAATGGTTTTGCTGTTGTAGTTAATATTTCCTTAAGTAAAGGACGATTCGTGAGGCTTGAGTCTGTAACATAAAGTTTCATTACTATAAGACAATTCATACTGAATGTGTATCATATCTAAAGTGTACTATATCTAAAGTGTACCACATCTAAAGTGTACCATATCTAAAGTGTACCACATCTAAAGTGTACCATATCTAAAGTGTACCACATCTAAAGTGTACCACATCTAAAGTGTACCACATCTAAAGTGTACCACATCTAACGTGTACCATATCTAAAGTGTAACATATTTAAAGTGTACCATATTTAAAGTGTAACATATCTTAAGTGTACCACATCTAACGTGTACCATACTTAAAGTGTAACATATTTAGATTGTAACATATATATTATTTAATATTTGCTGTTTGTTCACATGTGTTATCGAGATAGCTATAGCATTGACATAAACCTCAAAACACACAACTCATGGCCTCTTGATGATATCAAATTAATGTGTCGTGTTTAAAAAAAATCTACAGAATTCATTAAAATAAATCCAACCCAAAACATTTACAAAATAGGAAAAAGTGACAACCTCTTAATATGAATGACACGTTAGCAATGAATACAAACGTACACTTTTGTATAGGGTTAATTGCTTTATTACAAATCACCGAAGACAAAGACATATTCTAAATGTAAATAATACAATCTGACTAGAAATAGTCTACATTTGCAACTAATGATTTTACAACTACAAATGGTTTCATGATTATTTCTACGAAACACTACACAAGGATATAACACATTTATCTGTCACACAAGTAAATATTATACAAAAGGATATTTTTCCAGTGGGAGGGGGAACGTAACTATTATAGACACCTGTATGACAAATTGTTATTTTTAGTTGTCAATTATTGCTAACATAATAACACATATCAACCCTTTGTGTCGATCTACGTTGAATATGGGAGTTTATTATCTTTATTCTTTTATTGCAGATATGGAAATGTTGCTGTTGAAACATCTCAGATATATTCTTTTGAATTTTTGCAAATATTATTGAAATATTGCAACTACATTTAAGATGAGGAGCGCAAATAAAAAAGAAAGAGATCAGTTATACGGCTTCTCGGGGAGGACATTCCATTTTGCTGGCTTGAAGACATAGGTACGGGGTTTGAAAGTTGTTGTGTTAGGCCAAATAGTGAAGCAATGATATTCGGCGCTATCGCTGAAGTTGACTTTGATGCTGTTGATGTTGGTGTCGTGGTGGGTGTTGTGGTGGGTGTTGTGGTGGGTGCTGTAGTTGGTGTCGTGGTTGGTGTTGTAGTTGGTGTCGTAGTAGATGTTGTGGTGGGTGTTGTTGTTGGTGTTGTTGTATGTGTTGGTGTTGTAGGTGTTGTGGTTGGTGGTGTTGTGGTGGGTGGAGTGGTGGGTGTCGTGGTTGGTGTTGTGGTGGGTGTTGTGGTGGGTGGAGTGGTGGGTGTCGTGGTTGGTGTTGTGGTGGGTGTCGTGGTTGGTGTTGTGGTGGGTGTCGTGGTTGGTGTTGTGGTGGGTGTTGTGGTGGGTGTTGTAGTTAATGTTGTTGCAGGCGTCGTGGTAGGTGAAGTAGTTGGTGTTGTGGTTGGTGTTGTAGTTGGTGTCGTGGTTGGTGTTGTGGTGGGTGGAGTGGTGGGTGTCGTGGTCGGGGTTGTGGTAGGTGTCGTAGTTGGTGTTGTTGTAGGTGTTGTGGTGGGTGTTGTGGTGGGTGTTGTTGTAGGTATTGTAGTTGGTGTTGTTGTAGGTGTTGTGGTTGGCGTGGTGGTAGGTGTAGTGGTGGGTGTTGTTGAAGGTGTTGTTGTAGGTGTTGTGGTTAGGGTTGTAGTTGGGGTTGTTGTTGGTGTTGTTGTAAGTGTTGTGGTTGGTGTGGTGGTAGGTGTAGTGGTGGGTGTTGTGGTGGGTGTTGTGGTGGGTGTAGTGGTGGGTGTTGTTGTGGGTGTTGTTGTAGGTGTTGTGGTCAGGGTTGTGGTTGGGGTTGTTGTTGGTGTTGTTGTAGGTGTTGTGGTCAGGGTTGTGGTTGGGGTTGTTGTTGGTGTTGTTGTAGGTGTTGTGGTTGGTGGTGTTGTGGTGAGTGTTGTGGTGGGTGTCGTGGTAGGTGTTGTGGTGGGTGTTGTCGTAGGTGTTGTAGTTGGTGTTGTTGTAGGTGTTGTGGTTGGCGTTGTGGTTGGGGTTGTTGTTGGTGTTGTTGTAGGTGTTGTGGTCATGGTTGTGGTTGGGGTTGTTGTTGGTGTTGTTGTAGGTGTTGTGGTTGGTGTGGTGGTTGGTGTTGTGGTTGGTGTGGTGGTAGGTGTAGTGGTTGGTGTTGTAGTTGGTGTCGTGGTGGGTGATGTAGTTGGTGTTGTAGTTGGTGTTGTATTTGGTGTTGTGGTAGGTGTACTGGGTTTTGTTTTGGTGGGTGTTGTGGTGGGTGTTGTCGTAGGTGTTGTAGTTGGTGTTGTTGTAGGTGTTGTGGTTGGCGTTGTGGTTGGGGTTGTTGTTGGTGTTGTTGTAGGTGTTGTGGTTGGTGTGGTGGTTGGGGTTGTTGTTGGTGTTGTTGTAGGTGTTGTGGTCATGGTTGTTGTTGGTGTTGTTGTTTGTGTTGTTGTAGGTGCTGTGGTTGGTGTTGTTGTAGGTGTTGTAGTTGGTGTTGTGGTTGGTGTTGCGGTTTGCGTCGATGGATATTTCCATATTTTGATGTCGTCCAAACCCAGTTTTGAATTGAAGCTGAACTTTACAGTTTTAAACAGGACCTGAAATGGTAAGAAATCATTAGCAGTATGTCAAAGTGACGTTAACAGTGTGAAAATATTGATGAAATATATACATGTAAATAAGAAATTAAAGAAATTAAAAGCATACTATATTACACACTAAATTCTGAAGTACTTCTCATTGTGTTATGACCTGGCAGTATGACATGTAACGAAAACAGTTCTTTATTAAAGCATAGGTAACATCATCAACTACTCTTTAATAGCAATAACTTTCTGGGTATAATGTCTTCTAAACGTTTGTAGCTTAACATGATATTGTATATTTAAATGTGTATCTCATTGTGTTATGACCTGACAGTGTCCTGACATTAAAATCCTTAATGTGTTATGACCTCACAGTGTCCTGACAGTGTAACGAAACACCTTTTTGTTTCCTTGTGTTATTTCATTGACCTGACATCTTCGGTTGAAGCAGGTTCTCAGTGTTATGACCTGTCAGTGACCTGACAGCTGAGACATATTCGTTCTTTGTGTTACTTAATGTTCAGTGTCCTGACAGTGTAACGACCGACTTTCTCGTTCTCATTGTGTTATGACATGGCAGAGACCTGACAGTGTAACGAACGACTTTCTCGTTCTCATTGTGTTATGACCTGACAGTGTCCTGACAGTGTAACGAACGACTTGCTCGTTCTCATTGTGTTATGACCTGACAGTGTCCTGACAGTGTAACGACCGACTTTCTCGTTCTCATTGTGTTATGACCTGACAGTGTCCTGACAGTGTAACGAACGACTTTCTCGTTCTCATTGTGTTATGACCTGACAGTGTCCTGACAGTGTAACGAAGGACTTTCTCGTTCTCATTGTGTTATGACCTGACAGTGACCTGACAGTGTAACGAACGACTTGCTCGTTCTCATTGTGTTATGACCTGTCAGTGACCTGACAGTGTAACGAACGACATTCTCGTTCTCATTGTGTTATGACCTGACAGTGACCTGACAGTGTAACGACTGACTTTCTCGTTCTCATTGTGTTTTGACCTGACATTGTCCTGACAGTGTAACGACTGACTTTCTCGTTCTCATTGTGTTATGACATGGCAGAGACCTGACAGTGTAACGACCGACTTGCTCGTTCTCATTGTGTTATGACCTGGCAGTGACCTGACAGTGTAACGAACGACTTTCTCGTTCTCATTGTGTTATGACCTGACAGTGTCCTGACAGTGTAACGAACGACTTTCTCGTTCTCATTGTGTTATGACCTGACAGTGTCCTGACAGTGCAACGAACGACTTTCTCGTTCTCATTGTGTTATGACCTGACAGTGACCTGACAGTGTAACGAACGACTTTCTCGTTCTCATTGTGTTATGACCTGACAGTGACCTGACAGTGTAACGAACGACTTTCTCGTTCTCATTGTGTTATGACCTGACAGTGTCCTGACAGTGTAACGAACGACTTTCTCGTTCTCATTGTGTTATGACCTGACAGTGACCTGACAGTGTAACGAACGACTTTCTCGTTCTCATTGTGTTTTGACCTGACAGTGTCCTGACAGTGTAACGAACGACTTTCTCGTTCTCATTGTGTTATGACATGGCAGAGACATGACAGTGTAACGAACGACTTGCTCGTTCTCATTGTGTTATGACCTGGCATGCCCTTCAGATGGCCTTTGGCAGTATCGTGATTTAATGCGTACTTTCTGTTTTTTATATATATATATATTACCCGCACGATCCAAATCAGTTGTATTATGAAGTCAAATCTGCATATATCAATTTTGGCGAGCTCTCTGCTACATAATTATAATTTCAAGTGCAAGGATAGTATCCGGGGAATCCCCTTTTGTAATTACCAGTGTTAATACATGTATTTTTGATCTTCTTGTTTTCATGTGATATACCCATCGGTAAAGTTATACATCCATGTTTCTGGTGTAAACAGCAATGTTTCACGTAGATATGAAAGTTAACTATGGGTACTAAATGTATAATACATGAGATCTCAAAAGTCCTCTTAAAAGGCAAAGTTATACTGTAGATTATGTGCTGATGGGCTATGATGAAAATATGGCAATCGGGACAAAAAGTCTGCCATGTTTTACCGATAGTCTTCAGTCATGTTAAAAGGCAGGGACATATTGCGTTTAGTGTATATCCAGATGGTCTCCAACAGAATAGTGTTAGAATTATTATGAGGATAGATGGTGTACCCGATATAAGTCATTGAACGACTATAGTCAAATTTATATATATATGTTGATGTTTTCTTGTCTTTATGAAATGTTTGCGACTACTATAACTTCTATGTGTGTCTTTGTAGATGGCAATTCGTGCTAGGCAGTTAATGTGTATTCATAAACCCTATAGTCAGTGGTTGGATATTATATGAAAACTCGTTATTGAGAAATTTTCTACTCGGGTACCATCGACAAAATTCTGAGGTTTTATTCCAGATGTACGTTAAATACAATAATTGTATTCACGAGGATCAAAATCAAGTGTCTATTCCTATCTATAGGTCAAATTGCCGTAGCTCAAATACATCGGTAACTTATTTGTCAGATGAAGTTATCGCTTATATATATATATTGACCATTCGAAAAGACTAGTGTTTTAGCATCTCCCCATGCCAAAGAAAAAACCCAGTTCAGCATACAGTAACGACAGTAGGACATGTATAGAAGTGTTACTAGTCTAATACTTTGTGAGCCATCCCCACATTACATCCTTTATATCATTTTGCAATAAATACCTTAAATGGAGCCTGACTTGAAACTGCTATTGTTGCCTTCCTCCACTGATGTCCATGTCCACCAGTCAGTGCCATTACCGATGTTTCATCCCCATGGGTATCCACCAGGACTTCTAGATTAGAGTCTGAATACGCCATTACGTACCAGAACTGGATACAAACAGTCCCTCCACTGATTGTAGTCGTGTTGACGGAGGAACTAGCACCGTTAAGTTTACCAAGCATAGATGGATATAGAAACAATCCACCTATAAATAGATATATCATATAGGTATTACATAAATATGTGTTATTTCCTCTCTAACACGAATATCTGATGCAGCATGATAATCTGATGTAAATGCAACTAGGTGTAGTGAAATGTTCTTCACGTAATTATATATATATACACACACCCACACACACACACCCACACACACACATATATATATATATTAGACATTTATCATAACAAATAAACGTATTTAAGCAATATGCTTTTGTGAACGTATTCTTCATCTGCTATAAGATGTATTGGAATATTTTTAATCTGAACACTATAATTTGTCTGGTAAATTACTAATACTAGTAACGTGTTCCAGGTTTACCGAGCAAAGATGTGTAGAGAGAAATGACCCGAGAATACCTCTCCTGTCATTAGATAGGTTTGTCTATCATTAGTTACAGCATTAATATGTAATATATATAAATTTAATAGGATTCCTCCTTTACACGAACATTTGGTTAATCATTATAATCCGATGTTCATTGTAAATGAAAGCACACAAAATAAAATGAAAAACATTAGAATATACTGATGCATCGAAAAAACATACACCGAAAGTATATCGTGCGAATGATATAATGATATTGAATCGATATTTCAAAAATTTGAATAAGACTGTGGCGACACACAGTTCTAAAGATAGACCATATGTTATCGAGAATATAATATTTTGAAATCCCCCGCCCTTTTTCTTTTAACCTGTATCAAAACTACTGAACTTACTGAAAAACATCACTTTTCTTGCGCAATTTATTTTCGTTGTTTTCTCTGGTACTATAAAACCACGAATTCATATAATAACGAATTGTTGAAATATATATATATGTTTTTATTTACAGACAAGACTGGGACACAGGGTATTTGAAAATTGGTCCCTTTGAATTTGCCTTATTTGTCAGTCATCTTTAGCTGATAGACAACTTTGGTATAGGGTACGGCCCCGTATCACTTAAACGCGATATATCAAGGGTTTCGTACCCGGGTACATGGATGGGTTTCAGACAGCTGGCCAATTATTATTTTGCTATGTTTTAATCTGTGCCGATTTCGAAGACAGAATCATAAAAGTGATCCAGTTTTTAATTGACAACATCTTCGTCGATTTTATTGGTAAAGTTGGAGAACTTTCTGTGCCCCTCCGCTGGCGGGCTTGTTTTTATATGTGACTGAATTTAACGAAGAGCTCATCCAAACAACTCGCGTCCTGCCTTTAAATAACAACAACTTTATTGACCGCGTCCATATATACAATCAACAACACTGTCATGGTAACAAAGTACTTACATTTCAGCAAATTCCAACTCGGAAATTCTTCATAACATGACCACATGTAAACACTATGAAAATTTCACTTCCTGTAAAGCTAGTTTTTGGTGCGTAGACACAGATTCGAGACTACCCAAATAGTAATCTCCAACAAAAAGCTGAAATATTATCCTGAAAAAAAATGAAACCCCACATTGTCCACTTTAACATGACAGGACCAATTTTGGCAAGAATTTTTTTTTTCATTTTTAATTAAAACCTTTATAATGGGGTAATCTAATGAACAAAAAAATCACCCATGGCCACACCGAGAAACTGTGTACTGCTACCCTAGAATCACTGTAGGACAAGAATGAGAGATGAAACTATTGTATGCAACGTATTTAGGTAAATCAGAACTCCGAGAAAGATTTATATCACCGTGTTATCACCCTGTTACTCCATCTCGTTGATTTGTTTATAAGTAACTTTGTTCACGCCAGAGGGCGCGTCATCTCGCGCTATATGACGATACTTGCTATATTTGGCACGGACTTTCCCAAAATATAAACTGATCACACTGGACACTGGACTAATAACTTTTACACACAATTTTTTTTTTCGTCTAGATTTATATTTTTCACGGGCGTTATCAAAAATTAAACTGATTACACCGGACAATGCCTATGTAACAAATAACTTTTATGATATTTTTTTCGTCTGGATATATATTTTTTTCTGTTTTACTTGAATCTTAAAAAAGTTGATTGGCTAAAGTGTCCCTTAAAATGATACAACAAATAATAAACAAATTGAAATACCGTCGTGAAGAGAATCCACGCCCACTTGTTGTTTCATATTAGTTCTCTTCCACTGTATATAATGGTAACTTGTAGGATGACTGTAGGTACAGTAGTTCGTGTTAAAGTTACAGCTCTGACTTAGGGGTGTCACATTCACATCAGAACAACTGCTGTTAGAAAGAATCCGAACATCAGAAGATCCTGTTTTGGTTAAAGGTAGTGCCTCTGTTATCCGGAATATTGACACAATGGATTCTGCAAAATGGTGAGAAAATAGATTTAGAATGTTTTGGCCATGTCATGTAAAAAGACATACAGGATTTTCCTTGTTTCTTGATCAATAACAAGAGTGAACCAGTTTCCATCCAAAGGGACAGACACGGTAAAAATAATAATGAAAACGATTCAGCCATGTTACTTTTAAATGATAATAAACGATTGACCAGTTGGTATCATAGTATTGATATTTTTTTATGAATGAAGAATTTTTATGTTTTCAGTTATATTAGTAATTTATATCTGACATTTAGATGTGCTCGCATTTCTAAGTTTCCTTTCTATATAATTTGTTCTCATTTTATCGATTTGACATGTCGATATTTTTGCGTGAAGTGTTATTTATGTACCAATATCTACCCCTTAAGGTTTTGGATCTTCTAAACTTTTCTTCAGATAATGTACGCTTCCACGGGAATCTCAATACTCTTAGATTTTATTCACACTATGAGGAAGAATTTACCGGCCAAAGTGTTTGTTTATTACTTGAGTGAGTGTTTCAAGGATCTGATAACGATTTGTATTATCTGATCTTGAGGTATAAAACTTCTTATGAAATCTTATCCGGGAACCGGGAATAGTGATCTCTCCATGGCTTTGAACAGATAATTATTTTCTTATCGAAACCTTGCATATCATGTATCATATATCATCTCCGGGACATTTAAGAACATAACTCCGTAAACAACTACTACAGCAGTTTTTTTAAAATTGATATACTGACGAAATTTCAGTAGATTTCGTTGTTTAATTTGTTGTCTCTTTCTAAAGTAGCAAATATGTTGAACTCCATCTTACAGAAAAAAAATCATTCAGCTCCCTAGGAAATGAAATCCACTTATCTTTGTTCATGTGACCTGATATGTTACAACGTCAGTATCACCTTCTCAACACTAATCAGCAAACTGTATCAACAAAATGTGTTATCCCTGAACCGTTTTCGTTAGAACTTACTGATAATCAACTGCAGATCTCTGTTCTATCTTTCAATTTTCAATTTGAATTAACCCTTTCATTGATAGGTTTAATGTAACGTTCTCGAAATGGATGTTCAGATGGTTTCTTGTTGTTTCTTTGTGTACGTCTAGTGTTACCAATGTGATGTTAACATAACAATTATATCATTAACAAAACACGTAGTTCTGATATCATAAAATACCTATTTACTACTTACAGAGAGAGCAACCATGGCGTGTCATAAAATGAATATCACAGCTGTAAAGTATATATCATCATCATCATCATCATCATCATCAACAACAACAACAACAATAATCTCTGGTTGCCGAATTATTTGATTGATCCTATTTTCATTTGTCTACGGATCAACAAGGTATGTGAGAAAATTATTTTATGCATTAAAACCCTTCAACATTTATCTCATGAAACGTATAGTCAATAATATCGGAATGTCAACAGAAGCTGTAATCAAACTCAAATAGGGCAAACATCTACGCAGTGACTCCTAACAGTACTAGAGAAATAAGACCATGCGTTCCGGAGAGTAGGCGTGTTTCTGCTTTATAGAAAACGCCTGTCATTTAAAAATTTGGTCAATCGAAGTGAAATATTTCACATTCTCAAATGAGAGCAACGGAATTACAGGCATCTTACTTCTTATCACGCAAGAGTAATTCCCAATTGCACATTGAATCAAATGCGACACGAATACCATAGAACGTGGATGCAGGGGTTTTGCCACTCAGAAATAAGATTAAAAAGATATTATAGATATAGAATATTAATGTATCTATACATCAAAAAAAATTATCGTGTTTTTGTGTACCAAAGTTTTTTATTCTCTACTTTAGAATATGTTATTTTGAAATTAATTTCTTTACGTCATGGTATAAGGTCCTGATATTTCTAAAAGAAAAGAAGATATTTATATTTATAGACAGGAGCACTGCAATACACGACATTTATTTAAAAAATTAGATATTTAAAATTAGTTGGTGTAATATGTTTTCAATATTTAATTGCTCAACAGTTGATTGATTGATTGATTGATTGATTGATTGATTGATTGATTGATTGATTGATTGACATAGAAAAAAAAACATATCCCTGCACTTTTCAGTATAAAACTTGCTTGTATGACAAGTAAGATGTGTAACTTACAATTAATCTAACACGCACAGATTTAATTTAAGACATCAATACTAATGATTTTAAGAATGTCGATGATACTATAATGCAGTGACTCATTAACATCAATACATTTCTTAGCTCATTCTTGTGATTGCTACATTTACTCTGAATGTATATATTACCTAATCGTTGCGCTCGTTATACCATTAAAATTGAAATGCTGTCGAATTTAAGACACAATATGAACAAATTCTCTCATAACGTTTATATGATTGTAAGCATTAATTAGTGCATTTTGCATATTTACAACTGATAAAAGACAAAATTTGAACTTGAATTCATAATGTAGATAAATCTATTCAGTATGATTAAGATATAATTAAAGACAATACAGTGATCAAAGAGAACTGTTTATTATCTATTTCTATGCTTAACATGAACATTATTTTATGTATCCAAGAGGGAAAAGAATTAAGGAGAAAAAAGAAGAGTAAAGAGTATAAACACTTACGCAACAAAATTAAATTCCAAACCAGCATCATCACTCCTATTTGCACCTTTACTAACAGGTGAATCAGTATGATAATGTCCCCTCCCAGGTGTATCTGATGTCCCTCGCTGAGGCGACACGGATATTATTGAGAACACAAGACTTAATCTCGGAGCTGTCGGTGCTTTGATAGGCCAATATTTCTTTTTAAATTGACAAATAACTAACAGAGTTGTCTCCCTTCATCTTTCAAGATATTTCTTTCACGAAATTTTAAGATTATATAAGACAATAATTGAAGAGTGAAATAGGTTTTGTTTTATTCCATTAGATATTTTATAATATAAGTTTATTAAAGAAACCTTAACAACATTCCATATATCGGAATATTTTTGAGCTTTGCAATGTTTGCGAAAAGGTTTAAAGCTACAGCTATGGACGAAATTCTTTACATTTGGACTCTGATCATTTAATAAAGACAATTAAAAAGTCCAGTGACTGACTGACGAAGGTGATGTGGATTTCAACATTAAATATAAATAAAAACTAACCATGTTATGATTTTAATAAAACGATTAACAGCTTCAGATCCCTATATTATACATATGGAAATTGTAAGAACAAGAAAACATTACAGTTCCTGCTGCAAGTATCTTCCCTCCAAAGTGTGGAAAGGAAGTTTATCTCGTAAAGAACAAAGTAAGAATTACCTATGGCGAATTGATGGTGAGAGGTAGAAGAACCATGCTGATATAATAAATATTGGGTGTACTTCCATCATGGCTACAGTTGTAGTGTCTAATCCTTTTATATAACGTCAATATCTTTTTGATCTGGTGACAAATTAAACGGGTTCACAGCTTAATATTATTATTACTTTATCAGTTTTTATAGATTTATCAGATCAATAATTTTTTTTATAAATGTATCAATAGACTGTTTTTCAATTTTTTCTTGTCAGAATGTGTTAGACCTAAAGCGACACTTAGATTTTTCGAACTCCTCTATCACAGTGTACATTTCAAGAAAATAAAAATGATAAAATGTAAACAAAATTGTTTACTGGAGAAGTCAAAATGTATTATGTTAACTGACCATTACAAAGATTACAAGACTATATCTTGCTGGTATATGAGTTTTATATCAGTGACGTCTTCTGTAATAAATGCCTGTAGTTGCTTGATTAACGAGATCAAGACCAGTCTTAAACAGGTAAGATTTCAATTTTCTTTCATTTCATTTGGTGTTTCCTAAGTAAAAACTAACATTCGAACATTGATAAGAAATAACAAAAATGAAATGAAAATTGTCATTTTTAGTTGTGTTTGTATCTCCTAAATACATGTGTATCTATTATTTGTCAATCTATCTATTTTTGCTTTACGTCCTATTAGCAGCCAGGGTTAATTCAGGACGTGCCAGGTTTGGTTGGTGCAGCAACTACCGACCTGCGGTAAGTACCTAGTGACTGTCCCATATAGGCCTCGAACAATCAAGTGCATTTTTTGAAAGAGAATAAAATAAAATTGAATTGAATTGCACGTGTCTTGAGATATGTCTATCCAGAGACGTACATAATTATATACAAAGTAACTCCATAGCAGTTTGTTTATAGTATATTGTTCTTTTATTTATTTGTTAACTGGTTAAATATGGTATTGCTGTTAATCAAAACTCTAAAACCTATTAAAACAAATCCTTCCTGTTCTCCGTTATCTCTTTCATACTCTCATTCAACATTAATCTTCCATACGTGCTTTAATGCTGCTATAACCATACATAATACGTGTATAACATTATACTATGTAGAAACATAATTTACAAGTGACATTATAACATACATATCATAATTATTATTATATTCATATCAATAAAGTACATGCCAAGTATAACAAAACTTTTCAAGTTTGAGGTATCTGTAATTCCTCAAAGCATTAGTTTATCATATATTTAAATATAAGAATTATGGACAAAAATATTGAAAATAAATTAAGATACGTTAGCAGACACATATATTAAACAAAATCGCAAACATTTGTTCAGATTTTCAGGTTCCTTCAACCATTATAAATCCCAAGAAAAGTGTCATTTCTATTCTACGTTTCAGAATAACAAGATAATGTCGTGAACGTGTTAAGATGATGTAATAGCTTAGACAGAAATCAATAGTTTCTTACAAATCACTCAATGAACGATGTTAGTCAACAACTGTCTGTATATCAAAAACATCTATAGCAGCCATAAAGATAGATAGGAAAACATTTATCAACATTTAAATCCAATAAACGAAGTAGAACGGTGAATATGTCGAGATACTTGACCGCCATTTCAAGGTAATGAGTTTTGTTAATGTATTAACTTAGCTAATGATACATGTATGATGTGTCAGTTGTATTCAGTGACAAATGATTATACTTATGATAAATGGTTGATAATAACTGTATGAAGCTTCTCGAGCTAACATAGCTATATTTAATTAATACTGAAGTTTATAAGGCCACCAACAAAGTATTAAAATGCGTCAGAAATTTTAGGACAAATGGTTATCTCGAACTTTTCCATTCATTTAATGTATTTTGCTTCCTAAACACACTTTAAGTTTACTGTTATGATCGTTGTGGTTTCATTCCATTCATTTTAAGGTGTTCTGGGATATGATCATCGTTAATATAAGATTTAGAGAGCATAGATTTATTCCTCTTTGTTGACTGGACTTTTTTATATATAATTATGACTGCCAGGACCAAAGCACAGCCCCCAATAACGGAACCAACGATTATTCCCGTTTTGTGTTCATCAGAAAACGATCCTTGTTTCTGGGCATCCTTGTTTCCTATACTTCCGGTGGGAGTCGAACTTGATACTGTGGGATTGTGGGCGATATGGTGCACAGAGTGACTGGAAGTAACAGACTGAAGTGGTGTTTGAGTAGGAGTAGGTCGTTTACTTCCAGACGTTGAGGACAATGAGTTCATTGTCGATGTTACACTTGATAATCGAGTTGAGCTTAATTCTATGGCTGTGACTACTCCCTCTGATTTGTCTGTTGTTACATTGTGTACGGAATGGCCGGAGGTAGGCAATTTTGTTATCCGGGGTGTTGTCGATCGAACCGAGATTGTTGAAGATCTCATGTTATTTGTTACCTTGGAGGACAAGCTTGATACTGACACGTTTGTTCCTGCTGTAGTTGATATCATAAGTTTTGAAATTGTTGATGTCGTGGCGGGTGTCGTGATTGACATCGTAGTTGGCTTAATGATGTGTGTCGGGGTGGATTTAGTAGTTGATGTTGGTGTTGTTTTTGTAGTGGTGGTTGGTAGAATAGTTGTTGTCATCGCGAGTGTCGTGGTTGGTGTTGTGGTGGGTGTTGTGGTGGGTGTCGTTTTGGGTGTTGGGGTGGATGTTGTGGTTGGTGTTGTGGTGGGTGTCGTGGTGGATGTCGTGGTGGGTGTAGTGGTGGGTGTTGTGGTGGGTGTTGTGGTGGGTGTTGTAGTGGGAGTTGTTGTGGGTGTAGTGGTTGGTGTTGTGGTGGGTGTCGTGGTGGGTGTCGTAGTGGGTGTCGTAGTGGGTGTCGTGGTTGGTGTCGTGGTGGGTGTCGTGGTTGGTGTCGTGGTGGGTGTGGTGGTGGGTGTGGTGGTGGGTGTTGTGGTGGGTGTTGTGGTGGGTGTTGTGGTGGGTGTCGTGGTGGGTGTCGTGGTGGGTGTAGTGGTGGGTGTTGTGGTGGGTGTTGTGGTGGGTGTTGTGGTGGGTGTAGTGGTGGGTGTTGTGGTGGGTGTTGTGGTGGGTGTTGTAGTGGGAGTTGTTGTGGGTGTAGTGGTTGGTGTTGTGGTGGGTGTCGTGGTGGGTGTCGTAGTGGGTGTCGTAGTGGGTGTCGTGGTTGGTGTCGTGGTGGGTGTCGTGGTTGGTGTCGTGGTGGGTGTCGAGGTGGGTGTCGTGGTGGGTGTCGTGGTGGGTGTGGTGGTGGGTGTGGTGGTGGGTGTTGTGGTGGGTGTTGTGGTTGGTGTTGTGGTTGGTGTCGTGGTGGGTGTAGTGGTGGGTGTTGTGGTGGGTGTTGTGCTGGGTGTCGTGGTGGGTGTCGTGGTGGGTGTCGTAGTGGGTGTTGTAGTGGGTATTGTTGTGGGTGTGGTGGTCGGTGTTGTGGTGGGTGTCGTGGTGGGTGTTGTGGTGGATGTTGTGGTGGGTGTCGTGGTGGGTGTTGTAGTGGGTGTTGTAGTGGGTGTTGTTGTGGGTGTTGTGGTGAGTGTCGTGGTCGGTGTTGTTGTGGGTGTTGTTGTAGGTGTAGTGGTGGGTGTTGTTGTAGGTGTAGTGGTGGATGTTGTTGTAGGTGTAGTGGTGGGTGTAGTGGTTGGCGTCGTGGTTGGCGTTGATGGATATTTCCATATTTTAATGTCGTCCAAACCCAGTTTTGAATTGTAGCTCGTCTTTACTGATTTAAAAAGGACCTGAAAAACATCAATGAAATTGTAAGAACTAAAGACCAGTATGTCAAAGTCACGTAAACAGCTTTAATTGGCGACATAAATACTTATGCATTATACACTCAAACCTGATGTAAAGCTATTAAAAACAAAATATGGAACGGCTGGAAACAATTCATAATAAAATCATAGATAATACCCTAATTCTCAGGTCAGATTTTAGCAAATAAACCATCATTTTGCCCTAATACATAACGCCACATACCATGCATGTAGGTTTTGTAAAGTGTTCAACTGTGATGAAAACCAACACGATATCGTGTATTCAAACGCTTGCAGTTGGAGGCTAATTTGACTAGATTGCTGTCATATGTTTTACCGGAAACCCTCAGTTTAATATCGATTGTGGAATCACATTAAAAAACAGGAAATATTGAACTGCTTACGATGTATACAGATAGTCTCAAACTGAATAAGAATAAAGTTTAAGAGGATAGATACAAGTGTATCCAGAATATAGTACCAATGTGAGTTATTGAATGACTATAGACAAATAGACATAAGCATGTGGATGTTGTCGTGTCTTGATGAAACGGTTTGCGGCTACTGTAACAACTGCTGTGATTGTAGATGGCAATTCAAGAGAAATGGAAGCTAGGCAGCTGACGTGTTGTCATAAACTCTATAATCAGAAGTTGGAATCGGTATGAAAGTTCGTTATCGTTGTGACAATTTATAGTTTTCTGTATGGGAATCCACCGAGAGAATGCTGATGATTGAATCCAGATATTCACGAAGTTTAAAATCAAATGTATACTCTGATTCATCGGGAAAATGGCCCATGTCCTTTTGCTGCGTTTGAGTCAAACATTCAGACGATCCGCATGAAACCTTGTTCGTCTGATGGAGTTCTCGCTTACTGAGCAGCCAATGAAACCAATTACAAGCGTCCAGAATCTTATGAATGGCCTTTACTATGATAAAGTAGCCTGTTTTCTCAGAAAAAGTTGTACATTCTATAAATCTTAATTCTAAGGTTCAGTTTTCGTTCATGCATGGTGTGGACCAGCTTAATATTCTTCTAGGATTCGTATTAAAGTGGTTTTATAGAACAACGGTAGTGAGGTACTGATGGTAAATTTTGCAACAGACACCAAACTTCTTGATTGAATCAAACGATTTATAAATCATGTTGATACTCTCATTAGTTAGTGAAAGTAAATAATTCTTGGCTGGTTGACAAAAGTTGTCAATAACGTAGAGCAAAATGACATTGCACAACAAAACTGAGTTAATTCAATACAGAATGCAGGTAGTTTGTATCGAAGCAAAAATCATGCCTAGACCAGTAATTGTCACATTGATTATTTCAACATCGTGTACAGATAATTAATTTTATTCGTGTTTATCTATTTATATATTCGTTCATTTTTCTGTCAAAATTATTCCTGTTTAATAAATCTTTCAGACGTATGGATGGTTTGATTGTTCAGGTTTTTAAAAATTACAATAAAACAATTTAATACACTACTGTATCTGAAAGTGAGTTTATGATGAGAACAAATAATTGAAGGTGGTATTGATTTCCTATAATAAAAAGTCTTCACAAAACACATTCAGAATAATTGATGCCGAAACACTGACAAAGCACGAGGAAAGATAATTTCAATATCTGACCAATTTGAACTTCCCTAGTTGACTTAAATTTCTCCGCAAGTGTCTAGATATACAATGGTAGTATCGTGCAACGTTACACGATGTGCATGTGTAAACGATGTCTGCACGATAGGAAAACTAGTTCTATAGCACAGATAAGCTATTATGTCGTGGTTCATATAAATTTTGAAATGACTAAATAAATGTTGGATAGGGTTTATTCATTTTCTAGATATATCAGAATACAGCAAGGTACATTTCCTCTCCAAGCTATAATTCTCTAGGCTGGACACGTGTAGATTATATCCGTGTTTTGTTGACAAAGTCCCACATGTGACCAGTCTTCGTGTACAGACACAAAGTTAAATAAATCATAGACGTCTCTTTTTGTCTAAGCAATGAATTATCTAAACGTTCATACTGTCAGAAAGGAAATTTTATTTGGATTACTCTCATTTCACGAAGAAAAAAAAATAAGGTAAATTTTGAAGTGTTGTGTTTATTAGATGAAGTTATCGCTTATATATATATATATTGACCATTCGAAAAGACTAGTGTTTTAGCATCTCCCCATGCCAAAGAAAAAACCCAGTTCAGCATACAGTAACGACAGTAGGACATGTATAGAAGTGTTACTGGTATAAGACTTTGTGAGCCATCCCCACATTACATCCTTTATATCATTTTGCAATAAATACCTTAAATGGGGCCTGACTTGAAACTGCTATTGTTGCCTTCCTCCACTGATGTCCATGTCCACCAGTCAGTTTCATTACCGATGTTTCATCCCCATGGGTATCCACTAGGACTTCTAGATTAGAGGCTGAATACGCCATTACGTACCAGAACTGGATACACACAGTCCCTCCACTGATTGTAGTCGTGTTGACGGAGGAACTAGCACCACTTGGTTTACCAAGCATATATGGATATAGAAACGATCCACCTATAAATAAATGTCTCATATAGGTATTACATAAATATGTGTTATTTCCTCTCTAACACGAATATTTGGTTCAGCATGATAATCTGATGTATATGCATATAGGTGTAGTGAAATGTTCTTCATGTAATTATATTTATACATATATTAGACATTTATCATAACAAATAAATGTATTTAAACACTGTGCTTTTGTGGACGTATTCTACTTTTGCTATAATATATACGAAATATATGGAATATTTTTAAATCTGAACACTATAATTTGTCTTGTATATAAGTAACTACTACTAGCACTTATTTTTACCAAGCATAGAAGGATAGAGAAACGATCCATCTGTAATCACATGTGTATTTCAAACTTTTAACACAGAAATAAATGTCCATAAACAGTGTTCGTTAGTGAAAGTATTTTTCTGATATATGATTTACATTAAGCGTATATTTATCATCTTTTTTTTCTTGTATACAAGTTTCATATAAACATTATATATTATCATATTTATCATCTTAATAAACTGACGTCAGATTGAAACAAACCGTAAACATAATGCTTCGTTTTTGTCTTTGGGAATTAAAATATTGACACAAAAATATGTTCATTTTGAGATCAATAATGTTAAGGCATTGTTTCTTTGTTTTTACAGAATATACTTATTAACATATGTGGAAATGAAGGAAATCAACCAATGTAATATTTAATCCTCAGACTAAGACAGGGACCGTTTGTTAAGATTAATCAGACACTTGTTGCAAGATTCTGTGGAAATCAACCCACAATATATATATATATTTAATGGCAGAGAATTTCTACCTCCTCCCAAACATCCACAAGGTTGTTAAACCTGGTAGACCTATCATAAATTCGATTGGCCACGCCACAGAAAAAACTCAATGTTCATTGACACCTACCCGATACCTTGTGTAGAAGACATTCCATCTAACTTGAACGATGCCATAGACTATCTAAAATAGACATGTAACAATCTACCTGAAGATACGCTCTTGGTAACTATGGATGTAGTCTCCCTGTACACTAACATCCCACACGAGGATGGCATCCTAATTGTCGTACAGCATGGGACACCAGGGAGTACAAACATCCTTCAACAAACAGTCTGGTAGAACTTCTAGTTTGTACACACGTTGAACAACGTAACATTCAACGGAGAGCACTATCTACAAATCAGTGGTACCGCCATGGACACCAAGATGGCAACATCTTGTGCAAATATAGTTATGGGCCAGCTTGGGTCTAGGCTACTTGAAGCAGCCCCCTCCAAACCACTCAGCTGGTTTAGATTCATTGATGATATTGAGATCAAGTGGACATCCAGTCGAAAATCTCTTGAGAATTTCATTTGTTTTGAAAACGAATTACATAGGACCATAACGTTCACTGCTGACATCTCCAGCGAGAAAAACTCTTTCTTAGACAATTGTCCAACACTCATCAACGACGAAATAAGCACGGATTTATACAGTAAACCCACGGACACTCACCAGTATCTTCGCCCATCTAGTTGTCACCTACCCTATACCAAAAGGGACATTCCATACTCCCAAGCGTTGAGAATCAGACGTATTGTTTCTGACGACGACGTCTTTAGACGCCGCTGCTTAGAAATTAAGTCCCATCTACTCGACAGGGAAAATAAAGCAGCTCTGATCAACCGTGAAATCGAAAGAGTTAGAGAACTAGACAGGACTAGCACACTTGAATACTTGAGTCCGACCAAAAACTGAGTGAGTACCGTGTATGGTGACCTTTCACCCTAGCATACCACTATTGTCAATTGGCAAATCGTGCTGTCGTACAGTAAACTTCAAAATGTTTCCCGGAACCACCAATACTAGCTTGTCGCTGACCGAAAAACATCAAAGACCTGGTGGTGAGCGGTAAGCTACCAACAATTTCCAAAACTACTGCGACAGTCTTTTCAAAACATGTAACAGTAAGAGGTGAAAGCTTTATCCGTCAACTACAGCAGCCCTTTATTTAAATGTATAGTCAACGGCCAGAACTACCACATCCGTCAGTCGGTATCCTACACATCGTGATTACGTGTGCCTTGTGTCATTCGCAGTATGTGGGTGAGACCAAAACACCACTTAATCACAGGATCAACAATCACTGATGTTCTATCAAACAGAAACGCCAGGATCTGTCTGCAGACATTTTAATATGCCAAGTCATTCGTGACTTGATATGCAGGTGGATTCATTGATCATTGCAGGAGTTGGGGTGACCAGACTTTTTTTAAAAAATATTAAACAATAAAGCTATCCGTCCTCTTGATTATTTTAAACAGTAAACTTTTTTATTTAGTTACTATTTCTGTATAGACAAACTGAGGTACACACACTCAAATCCAATTTGATATATATGTCTTATCATACAAAAATAAAAAATGAGATACACGCGCTCACATAACAGTTTACAGTGTATATAACAAAGGTTGTTTTGATAAATATTTTTCTAAAAAAGGTATTTATTAGAGCACTTCACTTCAGCGGAATTGTGTTAGCAAACAGTGGCAATACCCAACCAGCTTAGTTAGATACATAAAATCACCTCACTTTAGCGAAATTCTGTTAACACACAGTGTGGTAACACCAACTTCGTGCAACATTACACCATTAAAACCTGATACAAAGTAAAAATGTCATGTGACGTAGGGATTCGATTACAACGTCAATATCAAACGAAGACCACATTTTGTGTGTGTGTCTTTTACTAATTTATTTTCATTTCTATTTATTTGATTTTTTCCTTATTAAGCATTTGCTGAAGGAAGAATGCTGAATTTTAAAATTACATTTTAAAGGGATTATCACATCATGTTTTATAAATATGTTTTCATGTTAAAAAGTCTCAGAAAGTCTTCTGTATAACTTATGAACTATGCATGTTAAATATTGGCACAATATTACACTTTCCATATTTTTTTAAAATCAATTGTAAGGCATTCTTAAACGTACAACCAATATATATGCAAATACAATGACACTTTATCCTAACGGGAATGTGCAGCCCGTCTCGAGAATGTCAATAAAAATGGCTTCCAACTCAAAGCGGAAGCGAGTAAAAGAATTACAGGGTCTCGCATCAAACGGAGAGACAGTTAAATGGATATGAACAATCCTTGAATCACTGTTGGACAAGAATGGAACGAATAGTATGCAACAATTTCGGTAAATCAGAACTCGGAGAAAGAGTTATAATACCGTGCCACCACTCTATTCCTCCATCTCGTGGATTTGTTTACATGGAACTTTGTTCCCGCCAGAGGGCGCGTCATCTTGCGCTATATGACGATTCTTGCTATATTTGGCACAGGCTTTATCAAAAATTAAACTGATCACACTGGAAACGTAACAAATAACTTTTATAATGATTTACTTTCGCCTGGATATATATTTTTTAAGTTTTACTAGAATTTTAAAAAAGTTGGTTGGCTAAATTGTCCATTAAAATGATACAACAAATAATAAACAAATTGAAATACCGTCGTGAAGAGAATCCACGCCCACGAGTGATTTCTCATTTTTTCTCATCCACCGTATAGAATTGTAACTTGTAGGATGACTGTAGGTACAGTAGTTCGTGTTAAAGTTACAGCTCTGACTCAGGAGTAACACATTCACATCAGAACAACTGCTGTTAGAAAGAATCCGGACATCAGAAGATCCTGGTTTTGTTAAAGGTATTGCCTCTGTTATCCGGAATATTGACATAATGGATTCTGCAAAATGGTGAGAAAATAGATTTAGAATGTGTTGGCAATGTCATGTAAAAACGAATTGAATTTTCATTGTTTCTTGATCAATAACAAGAGCGAACCAGTTTCCATCCATAGTAGCATGTCGGTCAGTCGCTGTTAGCAGGTGAAGTGCAACATCGAAATCGAACTGAAACAAAAACGTTATCTTTCATAACAAAACAGAAAATTTCCATAGTCAAATTCGTAAATACATTTATACTATAATGTATAACTGGTCAGTGATTTTAAAGCTTAACCGAATCCGGGAGGTTGAGTGGTGTTTGAATCGTTCAGATGGTTCCTTCGTTCCATTATTCTAAGTGATTATCGATTTCCCATTTCCATTTATGGATAGCAACATCTCAGCATCCCCAACCACTTGTGTAAAATGTTGCAGCTAATGTGTTATGCTAGGGCATGTTTCCAGTATCATGATTTTTGTCAACTGATGGACAAATTCGTACTGAACAGGGTTTTAAAATATTCAGGCTGATGACAATTACTGGAAAGTTTTGCAGTCGTCATAGTGATCTCATTGAGAGATATACTATTTCTCTGTGCTATTTCTATTGTTGTAAACCGTGTTCTCATTAAAGAACATGACATTATATTTATTTGGATTGACAAAGATTTACTTGACGGCTGCCGTGGATAGAGCAGAAGACGCTTACTCTTCCGGAACACCTGGTCTAATTAATCATGTACTTATTTCAAAAGTTGCCCCATATTTTGTCCTAGCTATATTGAATTGGAGTTAATATTATGATTATGTAATTTCTTAAGTGACCTCTCACCTTTTCACTTTCGTTCGGAGAATCGAACCCAGGACGTCCTTGTGAAAGGCAAGTGCGTTACCAGGAGTATTGTATAACGATCACTCCAATGTCTATACATGTTCATTTGTTGTTATCATTTAAATTTATTTAGAAAACAAATTTAATTACAGAAATGTGCCAAAGTGTTTTGCCAAAGCTCCCTTCTATCATCTTTAGCTATATATTTCAATGATGGGTATTCAAAGAATCTGGCCATTTAACACATTCAATTAATGATAACTAGTTTTACCATACCACTGAAATAAAGTATATATAAAGTAATTGCTTTCCCTCTGTCGTAAGATGGGTCGATGACGAAATCCGTTAGATAAAGATAAGTGAACAGGCCAACACATCTCGGTATTTAACTATCTGATTGCATATGATAATAACTGCACTAAGCTAACAATACTTGGTGAGCTGAACTTTAATGACCTACCTGACTACATGAGTGACGAAACAATTAACTGATAATTACCAGATCATCAGGTGATATATACTTTATAGATAACCATTTCATACTGAGCAGAAACAGTACTATTCTATGTTCGATTACATTCAGCGTTTAGTTAACGTATGTATATATGTGATTTATTCATCCTGGCAACAGTTGTGAAGGACAAATCACGTGACAAACATGATTAGATTGGGATCACGCCACGTCTCGGCTACTTCTGTATTATCAATGGTACAATGTTACACACTGCACAATCTCACACTTTCAAGCACACCTCCATATACTACTGGATCAGTGCCAAGTACACTTTCATACCCCCTAACACATTACAGAATGTATCACAAAACCGTAACGCTTACGTAATTTCTCCAAAACAATGGATGTTCAAGAGGAAATATAAAAGTCACATTATGACAACTAAAAATGTATAAAGAGTTTTAGTATTTTAGAATGATGTACCATCATGGATACTTTGTAAATCCAGGTCATAAAGTTTGGTAGTGCACCGATCTCATTTTACAGTTTACACGAGTCTAACAGTAAAATGGTGCGTTTACAAAAACAATTCGACGCCAGTCTTTGCTTACGTAGCTAATTTAATATAACGTGAAATACAACGTATTAATGCATCTGGCAGGTAGAATGGTTTTACCTGTGATAAAATTGTCAACTAGTTAGCATTTGCTGCATGTAACCTAACTTCAATTTACTGGTTAAAAAGATTGTATTTTATTTTAAACATGAAATAATCTTTCTTTCGCTATTTGATATTTCGTTTATGAAGGACTCGCATTTTAGTCGACAGATTAAACGTTTTCTTTTTTTTTTTTTTTTATTTCTTTACTTTTCTTTGTTGTTCCAGTCAGCGTGCGAGATTTACTTTCATTTGTTTCTTTAAGACACGTTCTACACCTCTTTGTTTTTCTGTCATTTAATTTCGCATGCTCATGAATCCAAATACAATTTATTTTGCTCCGTTCCGTCACCAAAACAGAACACTTCATTTTATGAATAAGATCTTGACAAAGACAGACAAAACGACACTTTTATCAAAATAGACTATTTTTCAGACAGGAAACTTTCGATTTCGTCCAAAAAATGCCTTTCATAAAAATCGATGCTGATGATCAAGGTTAACGTGTATTTAGCAGAACTGGATTGTATTCAGATGGTTTAAAAATACTGTAGGTTATTTTTACGAGAATTGGAATATAAACTCAAGTATAAAGATGAGCAACCTGCTGACGATTACCATAACATTATCACACTAAAATTATCTCGGTAATTGTGTTACTGCGATAGAAAACTTTACCAAACCCGTAAATAAGATAGAAGAAAGGTCAAAATTCGATGTGAAGATGTGTCGACATGTCCAAACACATACAGTTTTGCATAGTGACAGTTGAAGCAATGTGATACACTATAAATGTGCAAGTTTTCGTTTCGTTTTGTGGTTTCAGCAATTATATTTTGTAATATATAATTTCTACTACAGAAACAGTCAATTTTACGACATACGATATTATTTCTTATGAATCTCGTCACAATGGGGGAAAATTTTGAGAAACACCGATATATTTAAATAGCAAACTATGGACTGTACAATTTTCAAAAAATCACTTCAACGTAAAGACCTTGACCTTCAACGTAAAAAAGCATTGCACTGCACCTATCACTACTATGTCTCTATTACGATTAATATATTGTCTCTATTACGATTAATATATTGTCTCAATTACGATTATTATATTGTCTCAGTTACGATTAAGATATTGTCTCATTTACAATTAAGATATTGTCTCAGTTACAATTAAGATATTGTCTCATTTACAATTAAGATATTGTCTCAGTTACGATTAAGATATTGTCTCATTTACAATTAAGATATTGTCTCAGTTACAATTAAGATATGGATAGTAAAAATATTCTTCGAATCAAAACATTTGATTTAAACCTTTTACAAATTTAAAACACAATATTATAAAAACTGCTACTCGATTGCTTTGACATGCAATGCAATCTGTCACTTTAAAGTATTGTGCCAGAAAAAGAAACCATACTTCAAAAATGTTTGATGAGTTATCCATCGGACTGAATTATTGATATTTTTATTATGAAAATATATTACAATTGTTCATTTGGTTTTTTTTCAAATTAAAAATAATCTTAATTTTTAAAAATTTCTTGTTTCAAATCCTGCGAACTCCCACTAATGCACACTTTTTAATACACTGCGCGTGCAATATAATGCATTTCGTTGTGTATTTCCAATGAACCCGATCTTTCGGAAATGAATAAAGTTTTCATTAAAGGTAAATACGTGTATGTCATCAATTTTAATGCTCAATCATTCACTTCCAACAATAAAATAAATCAAACGAAATGTCTTACCTAGATATACAAAGTAGAAAAATGTCCATCTCAAGAAAAAATTCCCCATTCCGGTCGGTATGCTGACGTTATGTGATTCGGGCCTGATTACTGACTGAACTTTGTAGATACATGTACCTATTACATTGTAATCTTATCAGTATATCCGATCTGTACTGATGACATGTCGGTCGTCCGATTTACCTTCATCAAACCTCAGCTACTAGTCTAAAAATATCGTACATAGTACTTCAATTGACGTGATATTCCTTTCCAAACTTTGTTTTATAAAGAAGTATAAGATTTGGACGTTGCCTTCAGGACTTGACTACCAACATTACAAGAAAATGTTGGTCCAATCCTGTGTTCTACCCTAGCGACCAACTCCTCGACGTCAATAATATTTATATTCACTACACAGGAGATACAACACCAGAATTTCCTCCACACTTGATTGAACTCGCTTTTCTCTGATAATATCATTACATCATAAACAGAATAGAACAAGTCCGCGTTATAGTATTATAAGTCTTTGGATGATTATCTGTTTAGTGAAAATATATTAATTGCGTGTCTCAATTATAATTGTAACGATGAAATCATATAAACTCGTGTCTTGTTCTAGGCACACTAGTTTATTCCTTTTAAACCCAAGTACACCCTAATTTTTGGCGATGACTGTTCCAGTAGAATGGCTACATCTTCAATGGTTTCCTAATAATTCATATTTCGATCGTACATTTCAATCACCATCGCTGGTCGCGAATTGAGTGATATCTTTCGTTTTGCAATGATTGACCTACAGATTATAATTACCATGATAAGAATTTTAACAATATTTAGATTCTCTACCTTGATAAAGTAATCCATTATTATTTAGAATTAGGCACATTTACAGGAAACGGTGACTCGATCATTGGAACGTTTGTCTGCGTAACCTCAAGAGAAGGTTTATTTGTATGTGTATTGTATATCATCCGAAGTCTGGGATTTAATACTTCCTATCCATGGCGGTTTGTGTTTTTTCACGTGACTGAAAAGAGGAGCGGTCTGTGTTTTTTGCGGTTGCGTCCTTAGGGCAAGACAGTTCATTTGACTTATCAAATTCACATTAAAAAGATCGATAATAGAAAATCATTAGTTTCCTGTCACTGCATTCGTCTATATTTAGTCCTTCCTAAAATCTGCAATGCGCTTTACTGAATATATTTTCAATGGAAATTCTGTGATTAAATTGGTCAAAAATGAGTGAAAACATCAAAAACTTATTTTTGTCAATGAAAATATCACTAATATTCTCTACTTATGAAAACTTATATTCCACTGCCAAAGAAGTCATAACTAGAGCAATAACGCCGTCGCCGTGTAGCTGTCGTTGTATGTTCCGCGTAAAGTGGCGTGATAGTGTGACCTTGCAGATATGGGTCAGTTTTATATAATCTAATCGCAAGTGATTATTTAGTATTGCCAGGGACATACGATCATATACCATGCTAGGTAAACAAATTGTTTGTCACAAACAGGTACAAGAAAACTGTTCATAAATACACATATCATCAAAATTCAGTGTCAATTTACTCTATCTCTCAGTCCGTAGATAAATGTGGAATTAAAGAAAGTCATTTGTGCAGTAGTCTCTATAATGAGTACATGTTGTTCAATACACTGATCATTATAGATTCACTGAGGAAACACGTGCGTTGTTGTTCACTTCACCATGGCACTCCACTAACTCGTAATAGTGTACACGAAGGTCGAGATATTGATGACAGTCATCGGGATAGATCTATCGATCATATATTGCGGAATACGTTGGCAGGTTTTTGAATCGTAACTTTATAGTTCTTAATCTCACCTGTTCCATTTTCTCGGTGTAATAACACTTATAGCACAAATATTGTGAAGACTTGCACATATGTATCTGGCATTGATTCATGTGTTAGACTGTATTACGTCAACAATCGACTTTTGAGTCAAAATATGGGATGCTGTTACAAGACAGCTTTTTAACTAAACGTGAATAAATTAATGTTTGTGGTATGATAAAAACTTAATCTTATATTAATCTAGTTTCTATTTCATATGAATTGTCAATGAAATTTGTCGAATTTTCTATTTAGTCATATGAGGAACACGATTTCAAAAAGGAGCAAACTTGTTTCTGAAATGTCGTATGATAGGAAATCCCCGACGTAACAGTTTCTTTTTATCATTTAGATACACTCCTTCCATCAGTGATATAGAATACTATATAGATTACATTTGTCCTGAGATGCCCTCCATCTTGACCCTGTTAACGTTGGACCCATATCTAGTAATTACGTTCCCTTGGAAGTGCTCGAAACTTGTCGGGACAATTCTATATCCGGTATATTCTGTGTAAAAGCGCATGCCTTGTATAAACTTCCTTTTCGTTCCCTCATTGCAACACATTGACATAATGTATTGTGTTCCAGTTCTCTCGTGGACACACTGTGCATGAGTACAACATGTAATGTATTCAAGATGACTTTCAGACCGATTAGTGTAATTTCATGTTTAGTTAGATACACCATAATGCATTAACAATGAAATAGCACATTACAACAGATCGTTATTATATTATTTAAAGCAAAAAACTTGCAATTATCTAATAGACATCTTACAGACATTTAATCTTTGAAAAGATGGCTAAGTATTATCGCTGTCTAAAAAGCCCAAACAGGCCGCGGTTAAGTAAAGAGACTTTCTCGTCACTAATGATATTTTGATACACAGTGTATATGATGCATGTAAGTACCATCTTATAATATTAATGCTATCTAGTGACATTGGACCGCGGCTAAAAATGAATTTGCATAAACGCACGATATGTTTATTCAAATCTGTTTACTATTGTTAGCTTATGTAACCTAACAATTATTTATCAACCAACAATAATCATTTTGTAGCATAATCTAAAACATGGTTGTGACGTCATCCATTGTTCTGTTTGTATAATAACCAAGCATGTATCCCTCTAACTGTTCTATATGTTACCTTTAACTGTTCTATATGTTACCTCTGGCTGTTCTTTATGTTACCTGTAACTGTTCTATATGTTACCTCTGGCTGTTCTTTATGTTACCTGTAACTGTCCTCTATGTTACCTGTGACTGTTCTGTATGTTACATGTGACTGCTCTGTATGTTATCTCTAGCTGTTCTATATGTTGACTGTTACCTGTAGCTGTTTTATAAGCGACTCACTTATTGGACATTCACTGGTTTTTCACGTTATTCAACAATTTCCATAATGTCCATGAAAAGAACATATTTCTGTATTCGTGTTGAGTTCTCTAGTGACCGTAGTTGGGATATTAAATATATTTCCCAAAATATTTTACTGCTTTGAAGATGATGGAACTAATTGTAAATTTCTGATAAAATCTGCTGTCTAGTATAAAATCAAGGAAATTTATAAATCGGATTTATTAAACAAACACATGTACTTTATAAGACACTGTACACAACAATGACGTCCAATTTTCAGTCTCATATAGACAAATAGTCTCTTTCACTTCAAGATAGTAATGTATATCGTTATTCAATACTGAACGTGAATGAACTTTGTTGGGATTTGATTCTTGACAGATGCATTGATAAGAGAATTAGGCACAAATTATTTCATTGTTAGCGTCCCCAATTACATAAGATTATAAACAAAATTGACCTTTATAATTTTTTGCTGGATATGTTTTTTTCAAGCTAAGGGAAATAACCTAGTGTAAGACTGACAAATATGAATATCATTTCAGGGCTCTTGGTGTATTTTATAGCGTTTTTACTCTGAAACATCGTCTTGTTGCGTATAATGAAAAACTAAGTGATAATTTATTGTGTTTATCATCATCTGCTTCCTTCTGAATTAACACCTCCCTTTTATAAACCAGCAAAATTATTTTAAATGTATTTTTCTCAATCAATATCACGTATGATAAATAGAATTATTATAAAAAAAAACTAGCATCTGAGTTCACTTTAAATGTAAATCTACTCTGTTTCTGCTGACTAACTTTTTTGTTTATACTCAACACCAATAACCATGATGCATTACTGATTATTACCATGTAATAAAAATGGGCCGGTGAACGACCTTGTTTACATCTTTGGTTTGTGTTATCTCCCTTGACAAAAATGTAGTGCTTCAAACACAACCAATGAAATATTTGAGGTTGACGTTTCGATGACAACACAATCAACTTCATCTGTCAAATGGCAAGTGTGGAGCGTACGAGCACTGACGTACATTACGCATGAGACAGTCAGGAATCAACCAATTTTGGCTGTATCATTATCCTATATACACTAAAGTCGAAAACAGTGTGACGATATAGTAAACAGATTATAGACCATACAACAGACACAAGATGGAAAGAATACATTTTAGTCAATTCGGCTACGCTTTTGTTTAACACGTGGTCATATATGTGCGAGAGTCTGTAGACTTATTGCAAAATAAACAATAACTACTGATCAGTTGTGATATTATAAATTTTAACTTTTTAAAAGACATAAGCCTTAGATTAGAGTAAATGCAAAGAAATCAAAACATTTTTATCTGAAATCTATAAATTCTCATACAAAAAATAATATCTGCATGGTTGCCATTTTAGATGCAATAAGACAAAATACATTTTTAACAATTTTCTTTCTGTTAATAGCTGTTGAATTACATGTATCACCCTTTTCAATGTATATGAAATTCTGACATTAACGAAGGGAAATAACTCTCCCACTGGTTAACAAATCAAAATGCAACAAAGAATTGAGTAAGTATATATGCTATTAAATCACGGATAAAGGAGACTTAAATAAACAGAGTATTACATGTAATTATTTGCGAAGGTCATCAAACGAAACGGTCAAACTGGAGAGAACCACCATATACAAAATATAATAATTAATACACATAGGATAGATTATGACCGTGTAATGGCAGAAGACAAAGCTCAGTAACCGACGAGTATTTGTTTTCCTTGTACCTATATTACGTAACTTTGTGTAAACGTAACAAACTCGAAACGAAAGTTGCTTCCCTCTCGGGTACTAT